GTTTGCTAAAGGTCCCTATTAATTCGTATGCTACGGTTCGCTGTGGAGTACACACGTAGTTTTTATTTTCGCCTTTTTTTTGCGAGCCCCCTTTTGCAGGACCTGCAACTGCAAACGACACATCGAGCATCTATTTTTGAGCGTACAGAGACGGTGGCTGAGCGAGACACTTTGGCAAACATTGGAACGTCGAACGCCGAGACGCGTCACTCTCACAACGCTCATTGGCCCGCCAACGTAGACGCGTTTTCATGATCAACTGTGACACGTGTGTGTGTGTGCAATTTATGAGCGTGGACATTCACTGACCATATATCTGCCGCGTTATAAATTCATTTTTTTTTCTTCAACTCTTTCCCTCTTTCTTCCCGCTGGAATAACAGGTTGGAGCTCCAACCCTGGATAGCCCCTCCTTTTTACCTAAATGAATTAAAAAGAGCAAGGTGACAAGTGCAAATGAATACAGCGAATGCAATACGAAAATTGTGGGTTTCATTTCAAGTAATCATTCAACGTTTTTTCGAGTTTAGTAGTGAGATAATCTGATAACAAACTTTTTGACTGAGTAATTAAATTGATTACTTTAAATGTTACGTAAAGATTAACGGCGGGCCTACGTGGTCGTATAGTTCAGCTTTGCGGACTGCATTCGTGTAGCTTTCGCGAGTTATATTTAAAAACAGTGTAAAGAATTAAAAAAAAAAAGCACAAAATAACTACACCTTCTATTTTTGTTTGTTTTTATTGTGATTTTCGATGAATTTAGACTCAAATGTGTACAGTGCTTTATTGCGGAATATGATGTCTTCAATCCTATGACACTGTTAAGCATATAATTTACGCCTCGCCACATTGCTTTGGCAAACTTTGGTGACGCGCTTTCCCAGAAACATTGTCTAAATAAGTCAGTAGTATGCGTTTTTGCTCGCTTAGTCTGAAAAAAAAAAAAAAAAAAAACAAGTTTTGCACAAACGTGTTCAAAATACGTCATTGGGCCAGTTTAAAATTTGTTTATATAATGATTATTACGATAACAGTAGCAACGTAGCAGCAGCAGCAGCAAACTGGAGTGTTGTTTTCGTTCAGAAATAAGGTTGAGATTTAGTGAACGCAGCAGCGATTTAACAGGAGGCACCAGTCTGCCCGCGCTCACTGGAATAACAAATCGTCGCCAATCGAGTTGTACTTCACATACTGTGGCATACATCTCGAAGATCTTCCCCCGAACAACGCACTTGCCAAAAAAGTACTGCGTGTAAAAGATAAAAAGGCAGGAACACATCACCACCAGCAGCTAGTCAAACAATTACACTGTTGCGACAAGCGCGATAGGCAGCCGCTAAAGTTGCTTCGTCATCTGCTTCCATCTCCATGCTGAACACTTTCTAGGAAATTCTTAGAGTTTTGTTTCGTAAGTCTACTTTACGGATTCACCCCCTCTGTAACCAACGGAGGAATTACCTAGGCGGCCTAGCGGCAGCCATGAAGGAAGAAACGGATGACGTAAAACCCTAATTGTGACAACCACCCCCCTGGCCACGCACCAACACAGACATACACACAAATAAAAAATGACCTGTAAACACGAAGAATTAATTTGTCGTGGTAAAAAAGAACAGTAAATACAAAAAAAGAAGTAGCGAAAACAAAAACCGGCTGGCAAACTGGATTTAGTTTAAAACGAGCCTTGACGTCCCCTCAATGTGTTCGCAAGAAGTGCAAGCTTCATAGGACGTATCCATGAGCGTAACAACCGGGAGGGCAAGCGCTTGCGCCCCCCCCCCCCCCCGGTTCTTAAAGTGTGTGTGTGGGGGGGGGGGGAGGGGCCAAGCATGTGTTTTGCCCCCCCCTCCCCCCCCCCTGAAACAGCCGCCACTGGGCAGGGCAAACACTGGCCGGCGGCGCCCAAGGGATACCAAGGGCACCGCTCCTTGGCCCTCAGGGAGGGGGGGAGGTCTGGTTTGCCCCCCCCCCCCCCCCACCCCCTCAGAAACAAGTTGGTACGCCACTGGACGTATGGATACGCGAAGCATTCAGTTGGCACAGACACCAAACCGGAGCAGTGATATATCGGCATCGGGAGCACATGGTGCCAGTCAAAGCATGGTTAGAAGCGCGCCCGGCAAGAGGGGCCTGCGAACAAAACTACCAGGCTGTACCCTCAAAAACAAAATACGGAGTTGTTTTTCACCGCAAACATAAAATACGCATAGACGAACACTCATTTGCCAGCGATCCAAACCGGATACCAAAGTTTCATAAAAAAAAGCGTTATCTTATCCCAAAGTTATAAATGATTTTATGAAATGTTTAATAAAAAATGGCTGCCGACGGAGCTCTCGAGTACATGGAGCCGAATGGCACCAGTTTCCGAAAACGGATGTAAAAGGGTCCCATTTTCCCACTGAAAATCTGAGAAGATCTCTTATAACTTTCGAATGAGATAACAATTACGTCTGAAACTTTGGCATCTGCAGTGCTTCGGACTGGAGAACCCGGCGTTCCTCGTTCTAACGCGTTCGACGAGTGCAGTGGAAGCAAAGGCCGCTAGCGAGCTTTAGCTCTACCCCCTAATCCTTCCAATCAGAGCTCGGCGTTCTGACGTCTCCTCCCGCGCTCTAGTCTCCCCCTCTCCCTCACTTTCTCGGGTAGATGAACGAGAAATTATGATGCTTGCATTGCACGGAAACTCGCGCCTGGTGACTTGATAAAGCGTAAACGCCAACACAGGAGTAGAAACACGATCTGCGCTGTCGATAAGCAAGCAATAAAACCGGGGACAACACGTAAAGAACCAGTAGGTACTCAGATGTTGTAAAAACAACATATTCAAATGCCCATTCACACAGCACCATATGCTTACGTTGCGTTATGTTAGGGGAGATTACGTATGCTTATGTCACGAGTCACAGGGACATCCGTGCTTCGTATGAAACGTGTGAAGGCACGTTCACACTGCCCCGTTTTCTTACGTTACGTTACGAAAAGCCACCGGGAAGTCTGTGCTTCGTATTTAGCGTGGCTACCAATCCAAGGAGATAGCCTGGCAGGCGACATTCGAGACACGAATGTTTCGGTGTCTTAGACGTAACGTAAGAAAACGGTGCTGTGTTAAGGCTGGTTCACACAGACCCGTTTTCTTACGTTACGTTACGTTGCGTTACGAAAAGTCACCGGAAAATCCGCGCTTCGTATTAAGCGTGGCTGTCAATTCAGGGAGATAGCCTGGCACGCGACATTCGAGACACGAATGTTTCGGTGACGCCGAGCAGGACGGTGAGTTACCGTGGCAACCAAGGACACAAGGCTCGTCGTAACGCAACGTAAGGAGTTGAGCTCGGTTCAGCTTTTGACACAGCACAGTTTTCTTGCGTTACGTCTAAGTCACCGAAACATTCGCGCGTCAAATGTCGCGTGCCAGGCTATCTCCTTGAATCGGTAGCTACGCTTAACACGAAGCACAGATTTTCCGGTGACTTTTCGTAACGTAACGTAAGAAAACGGGGCAGTGTGAACGAGCTCTTAAAGGTTGAACCGAGCTCAATTCCTTACGTTACGTTACGACGAACCTTGTGTCCTTGGTTGCCATGGCAACTCACCGTCCTAGCTCGTCGTCAACGACACATTTCTGTCTCGAATGCCGGGTGCCAGGCTACCTCCTTGAATTGGTAGCCACGCTTAATACGAAGCACAGATTCCCCGGTGACTTTTCGTAACGTAACGTAAGAAAACGGGTCTGTGTGAACGAGCCTTCAGTCACTTCCAAAAGTGGCTCGGCACGCGACATACGAAGCACGGATGTCGTGACTCATAACGTAATGTAAGAAAACGTAAGCAAACGCTCCTGTGTGAATGGGCCTTGATACCTTAGCATTTTCCAATTTCGCATTAATAAACCGATCTCCCTAAGCGTTCGCCGCACGCGTGACGCCGCCATAAAGACAGTGCACGAGAGGGATCGTGCCATCTCGTGCTCTACACGCGCAGAGCTCCAACGCACTGTTGTTGCACATGCGAAAGGCGGGGTCACATTGATTATACATCATACAAAAGACAGTCTGCAAGCATGAGTCACAGCAATATCCGTAGGTCGAATGCCGCGTGCCAAGTTTTCTCCTTAAACTTATCGCCATGCGGCATTCGAAGCACGTATCTCGCGGTGACTCGCGTTCGAATCTGTATGCAGACTATCTTCTGTATAATGTATGAGCAGTGAGACCCCGGCTTAAAGTGCCCTCGATACACTGCGGCAGCGATCGTGTAGTCAAAGTGGTTGGTGAGATCGGTCTATTCAGTACTGAAATTACTCTCGTCTGCTTCTCCAACGCTCTTTCTCACAGAAGCTAGATTGGAATCGGGTGTTACACAACACACAATTCAATAGACCGATCTCACAGCCAGTTTTATTACGCCACCGCTGCTGCCATGCATCGTGAGAGATGTAGTCTTTCTGCACGCGCGACAACCCCGCTGAGGGCCTGCGCGAGCAGAGCACGAGGCGGTGCGAGCTGCCTCGTGAACTGGTGCTTGCCTCCTATGAACTACAGTGATGGCGGTGTCACGCATGCGTGGAACGCTTTGAGGGATCGGTCTATTGTAGCTTTCACAACACAAATCCACGCATCCCTATTGTGTTTTGCAGATCGAAGCACGAGACTTTGTTCGCGATTCGCTGATGAAAAATACTTCCAAAAGCGTTGCGAACACATGTCGCGGTAAAGATCATCAGTGTGATTTAAAAAAAAATGCTATCGATTCGTATGTATCTTGTAACATTTCCTTCACAAGCGAGCAAGCCAACCAGGATATTTCCCCAACATCTGTCTTAGAAAAGCGGGGGGCCGAGCAACCAGACCGCTATTCCAACACGCAGATGAAAGAAAATGCTATGGTGCCCAAGTGAACATCCCCCTGGAACAAGGCCGGCCGCACCAACGGAGGGTATCCGGTGCACTCCTGGCGCATCCAAGTCGCGGTCCGCACCCGCAGCGCACGCTCACCTGGGCGAGTGGCAAAGCAGGCCGGCCAGGGGGTCCGGCTCGGCGTTGACCAGGTCGGCCAAGTCCGACTGGGAGCACTTCCACGCCTCGTCGTCGTCCCAGAACTCCATGAGCAGGGCTTCCAGAACCCTCTAAGGATTCTGAAACCTCGGGCTCCCGAATCCTTAGGCGGATACACGCGCTGCACTCGTGGCACCAGCGCGCGATTGCTCCCCGGGCGTAGGAGGCAGTCGAGGGGCTTCCTCCGGGGCGGGGCTTCGCGACTTGCCGGGTCTTCCTTTTGGACGACGTCGCTGCGTCGGACACAAAGCTCGGGGCTCCGAGCCCCGACTCGAAACCAGAGCCCGGCCCCAGTGCCGCGGAAAGGGGGGAGAGACGGTCGACGGAGGCCTGCCCACGTCGTCTTTTGTCCCCGTCTTGGATCTCGAGCGGCGCCGTGAATCGGGCTGGAGGTCGCTCTTGGCCCCAGCAGATCACGCCGCATTCCCGGCGTGACTCGACATAAGCGCGCCGTCACGCGGTCTCCTGTCAACGCGGCCGTGAAAAAAGCGTCGGGGAAGCGACCGCCAAGGAGCCCCCTTGACGCGATTGAAACACAGCCGCCGTAACCGAGGAGGGTCTCCAGGACGCTACGCGGCGCCACGGTCCACAGCGCCGTCCGTCGGGTCCCCGCCCTACCTGGGCGGCACTGAAACCCGATCTGCCGACGGACGCACGTGCGTCGGACCCGCCGTACTCCACCAGTTGGTGTCCGCAGCCCCGTCAGCGGGATTAGCCGCCCTGGCTCGGGGCTTCGCGGGAGTGGGGGGGCCCTCGACGACGTCGCTCGCTGCACAGCTGCCCGAGTTGAGCCGTCGCCTCGTGGTCCGAGGGACGCCCGACGCCGGGTTCCGACCAACGTCTCGCGGTGTCGCCGCGGAGCCATTACCCGGACGAGGAAACACGCTCAAATCGGGATTCCGTGAGTGCATAAAGGCAGCGTAACGCGGCGTGATGTCGCCGGCGCTGCCTCTGGAATGCCCGGTAGGCACCGGCGTATAACAGAGACCACGTGCGCTGCTCGGATCCGTGCACGACTGCCGTCCGCGGCCAATTTGCTCTTGGTTCGCTGCCGTTCTAAGAACCTGCCCCTCCGGCCATTTGAGCGGACGGCGTTGTCTTGCTCGACAGCCTTTATCTTTCTCCCCACGAAACCGTGGTCATCCTTTCGTCCACGCTTGCTTTGGCAGAGAAAAAGGCTGGGCAGACATTAGAAACGTACTTCGTTTCAACTTAAGCCCAGACGCAGTCGACGCCGAGCTAATGCGATCAGTCAAGTAGGCAAACGCGCAAATCATTGGTCCTGTTGTGTTTTTACGTTTGGTTCCGCGATGATAGAACACGTGCAGAAACATTACGAACGCCATGATTGTGCGCTTTTGATCCCATCAGCTCGTAGCATCGGCTACGTCTGGACATAAAGAGAAATTAAAGCGGTTTCATATTTGAGAAAGAAAAACCAGTTAAATCGTCCTCATTTGGTCTCCAGGACCGCGAATATCAAAATTACATTTCAGATTCCATGCGCCAAGTGGACAGAACAGCACTTTCAAAATGGCGCTGAAACAGGCTAAAGCCACTCCTTCCCGGCGCGTTCTGTGGTAGGAGAGAATCGGGACGTATTATAGAAATTACCCGAGCAGTCAGAAACGCTGCACGCGGTCCCTCACAAGTGGAAAGCGCAAGGCAATCAAAACCTTCTTGGGTATGACGTCACACCCATTGTTTGTTTGTGTTTTCGTGTATTTTTTTTTTTTGCGTCTATTGATACATTTGGGTCAAACGCTTGTGATTATCAAATTCACGGGACAAAACCAAAGTAGAATTCACCTCTAACTATTTTTTTTCTCAACGATCTCTTGAGCTCCCTTTTAAATGTCATTAATACCTAAGTTATTGTCACTCACGCTTAAATTATTGTGACTCATACTTAAGTTACTGTCACCTTACGCGGGGAACGACCACGTTCACAAATTTACGTAATATATTTTTACTCCAAAAGAAGATAACCACAATTATCTGTAACGTTCCGCATGACTCTCACACTACTAATTTGCTTACACGCTTCACAATTATTACTGCACAAAATCTATGCAGTTACAGATTGAGCTTTGGTCTTAAGAACGAAAAAAAAAAGTAAAAAGGAATTCTCGCTTTTTAGCTGACCTTTCAACACTGGCCAAAAGCGATCAGGCATATGTCACTCGACACACTGAACGTTGAAGGATGATCCGTCACCGAACAAATTATGGTAACAAAAGGCTCAATTGCACCCTAACGAATTTACTCAACAGTTTATTAAATAGTGATTTGAGAAGTATAGCTAAACAACCGCAAAGTGTGTACAGTTAATGCTTAAAATGTGTTCATTAGTAACCTTCTTTAATTTAATTTTGTTTTTTTTTGTTTTTTTGCTGTTGTTCGTTTCGTTATTGTGGGGGCCCGGAGGCTCGTCAAACTTTTCCTTTCAGCTTTCTTCTCCGTCCTCCCCTTCATCACTTTGATGAGAAATAAACTATTGTTTTTATGACAATATTATAACCCACAGAAATCCTCTTCTGCCAGGAAGAAAGTCGGTTCCCATCCTGTCAAAGATAAGCCACGCCAATATTTGGCGCAAATTGCTTTTTTTTTTTTTTTTTCAAAAGCATAGTAATTGCAGTGCCCGGGCCAATGGTGACCTCTGTCGAAATGGGGTACAGCAGGTTCCTTCTTTCCGTCCCCTCTCGCACTCCTCTGTCCTCCTCTTCCTACAGGAGCGGGTCTCAAGGCTGCTTCCCGCAGAAAACAGGAGGGTCTTTGATTTTTCTAGAATAGAAAGGAGGAATTGAGAAACAGTTTCCTCCTTTCTGGCCGCTCGACGGCCTTTAATCAGCTGACACGAAGTATAGATGAAATTGAACAATAAACGGGGTTGCGCTCAAAGTGTGACACGTTTACAAGGTTAAGGGCTGGGGTAGTTGGTAGCGGATAAACACAATAAAATAAAACAGCGCAAAAGGATACAAAAAGAAGCGACAAACCGAAAAGGACAGTGTGTCCTGTCCGGTTTGTCGTTTCTTTATGTACCTTTTTGCGCTGTTCTATTTCGTTATGTTTAGAGAGGTATGTTTATTTAAAATAGTGTCGACCCTGCCGGGACGAAGATGCATGTTGTAGTTATATAACAGATGGAAACACGTGCAAAAATACGCGCAACAATAGAATCCGTCCAATACAATTCAAATAAAAAAAATATGATATTTTTGGACATGGTGTGAAAGGGGGACTGGTATTATTAGTAGAAAACTTTGAGAAACTGGAATTAAATTCTTCCCGACTTCTAGCGATCAAGAACTCTAATCTGGACACTAGGAGAAAAAAGTCGGCTAGGAATCCTGCGGTCGTGATTGTTCGGCGCCGCGCTTGATCTTGGCGACGGCCAATCAGTGCAGTCGGATTCCTGCCCGACATTTTTGCTAAGTGTCCAGGTTAGAGGCCCAGAACATGCATGTGCTGCTGGAAGCGTGTCCCATTCTCGCGCTGTTCCTCGAAAGAATGAATATCTCAAGCAATATTCAGAAAATGTTCGTTCCTGTACATGTCCGGTGTCAGACCTAGCCAGGATTTTTCATGGGGGAAGGGGGGTCCTCCCTTCTTCTCCCTCCCCTCCCCCTTCCCAGTTTTAGAGCGCAGCACTCAGGCGCCCGTTTCCGGCTTGAGCGGTATTGGCGTTGCCGTCAGCGTAACCGCGCGGTGCATTATGGGAAACGTCCTATAATGCACCGCGGTGACGCGCGCGTTGTATTATGGAACGTTTCCCATAATGCACCACGCGGGAGGGAGGAGGAAGAGGAGGCGAGGAGCACGGGAGGAGTAGATGAGGAGAGGGTACGGATGAGGAGGAGGGCCATACCGTCCCCTCCGTACTCTTCCCTCCTCCTCCTCCAGAGCTGCGCTCTAATTCGGCATTACAGGGAATTGTAAACGTCTTTCTTTTTTCATGTCGCGGACACTGAGGTGCCTATACTGTTTTACTGCAAGTAAACTTCGTGTGTTGAGAGTTAACACTTGAAAGATGTCTTTGCAGGGGTTGGTTGGTGGATTGGAGTTTAATGGCGCATCGGCTTCTGAGGTTATAGTTCGCCACGAGCTATTGCGATACACGGGGTAAAAAAAGAAAAATTCACAGCAGCCAGTGATGTGGAAAGACTGTGAACATGGGTGGGTATAAGTGTAAAACATACGGTCAGAAGTTCGAAATTGAAAATGAATCACATTTGGAGTATAAAGTAAATAGATATCCGTGATATAATAAAAAAAACGTTTCGATTTTAATCGGTGGCTTATCACAAAGTAAAGAGACTGAGGGATATGTTATCGTATAAGCTTCGGTATCGGTCATACGCAGGGCATCCGACCAGGGTGTGTGAAGTGTCTAGAGTTTTTTGCACGCCGTTCAGTGTTCACATCCCTCCCGTTTCATAGGTCCTCAGGTGTAAGATGCGTATGATCAGTTATTTGTAACCGTCACAGCACCATCACCTCGAAGCGTTTTGGATGTCGGGAACTCTCTCTTTTGCTCATAAAAGTAGTGATTGCATGTAATTTGCAACACGTTTTATTTATTTTTCACCGAGAATGACACTTTGCTTTAATGCAATGCTTCAAGAAGATCTGGTAGCCTTCATAAAGTATTTTAAGTATATCTACTTCTCTATCATCATCACAACTTGAGGCACAAGCGGTCGCTTTATTATTTCTTGGGAGGCCGACATGACACGGACCCCAACTTAAAATTAGTTTAATGTTTTTGGTTGTGGCAAAAAATCAAACATTTGTCTGTCGTTCAATAACAAGCAGGTTTGTAACATGCTTCAGATGGCATGTCACGTGAGCACGTATTTACTCGAATCTAACGCGCACCTTTTTTGGGGGAAATAGGTCCAAAAATCGCGTGCGACCCAAAACTGCGCTACTGTATCGCCATCGACATTTCAAAATGGCCGCTCCATTACGCGCTGAGAAGCTGAGAGGCTTAGAGCGTAGCCAGCTTGTGTGTTTCTTGCGTTCGTATCACCGTGGAAGTTTCCTCTGCAAAGACACGCCGCGCTCACCGTGATGATGAATTCAAAAGAAAAGTGATATTGTGCGCGGAGAGCAATGGAAATCGGGCCGCATCACGTGCGATGGGCGAAAGATACGTGGTGCACGATCCCGTCTGCCATGGTTATCAAGGCCTTCAAGAAGTGCGGAATTTCTAAAGCTATGGACGGCACCGAAGATGAAATGCTTTGGGCCGCTGACAGCGATAAGGAGTCGTCCGACAACGATGACGAGTGATGCATACCGCCCCACGGGCGCTGCACCGGACCGTCGTCGTGATGACGACCTTGCCGGCGAGAGACAGCGTCGTTCATTTCATCGCAAGATTGAAGCATTTGGAATAAACCTTCGTTGTTCCAAGTGAAAAAAAAAAGTTTAATTTCTGTATCCAACCTACAAAATCTGGTGCGCGTAACAATCAAAGTCATTGCGTTTTTTTTTTTTTTTTTTTTTTTTTCGGACCTGTAAAAATGGGTGCGTGTTACAATCGAGGGCGCGTTAGATTCGAGTAAATACTCGGAGAATCACTGAAAACTACAGAGCGGGAAAGCCATATTTTGCTTACGCAATCAAGAACCTACACCGGATCATTGGGTTAGACTGATAGTATTGAATTTAACTATATCTGAATTGGGTGGGGGATAACAAACCCCAAGCAGCGGCAGTCGAAGGCCACGTTGTGTACCGTATACACTCCGTGCGGGAACTATAGGGGGCGCTTTGAAAAACGCGCGTAGCGCCGCTGGCGGAGGAGCTGGCGTTCGACAGTGAGGCGCGCTCAGCAGATTGCGGCGCCTTTTCGCGTGCGAAAAGGTGGCGGCGGAAGCGCGCACGGACGGAACTTTTGCCTTTTGAGCCGATAAGTTGAGGGTGACGTTGCATGAGTGCTGGGGCAGATTTAAGACGGGCATTTAGCTGTTCTCCGCTTCTTATATATTGAGTTTGAGTCGTTATTAGGGGTAATTTCTTTAGTTGCGGTCGAAAAAGGGGTTTGAGCAATTTTCCGAAGAGCAAGACGGCCGCCACCATAATTGCTCTCAGTGGGAAATTTGTTTCGCTCGTCGCTGTAAAGATGGGACTGCTGGGACGATGATATCTGGAGGCGAGTGTGACGTTCACTAAGTTTGTGCGCTAAGTGGGCCAAGTTTTTTTTAAGACAGCAAGTGCGAAAGTTATGGTTCGAACGAATAAAGCAGTCAGGAATATCCAATATTGGACCCAAAATTTTGTGTTATAACCGGGCTGTGCGAAGTGCAGATTTGGACACACAGGTTCTTGGACATGACCGCAACTTGACACAACAGTGATAAGACCAAAAATAGGTGGCCTAGGAAAACCAGGTGGACACTTGGTTTGGGCGGCGTAACTGAAAGGTAAACGGTTTTGATTGTAAAAGGGCTGTCAAGAGTATACAGTCGAGCCCACTTATAACGGCCCCACTTCAAACGAACGTTCGGTTAATACGAACAATTTCTCATCCCCAAACATATTTCGCAAGAATCCTGCACAAAACGGCCCACTTTTAACGGCCATTTCTGAGCGCAATTCTCGGATAGAACGAACGAAACGGCGCTGACGGCGCCGCGACCTTGGCTGCCGGCGGAGATAAGGCAGGGGAGAGGAGGCGCAAAACGCAGAGGAGCACCGTCGGCGTCGGTGCTCCTCCGCGTTTTGACAGCGTCGGGTTCTTGGGGAGGGGGATGGGGAGGGAAGAGGGAACGAAAGGGGAAAGCAAGACAATCAGGCCTCCCAGCCCAACGCTTTGCACGCGTTCTGCTCGAAGCGTTGGGGCCGTGTGCAAAGCCCCCTTTTTTTTTGTGTGTGTGTTTTTTTTTTTTTTTGAGTGTTGGGGTTTCGAGGTCTTTTGTCTTTCGTTCCGTCTGAAGCGTGTTGCCTCTTGTCGTTTGGTTTCGGCATTTCGGCTCGACCTCCGCGCAATCGTTCAGTCTACGGTTACTCGCCGAGTCATCGATCGTTATGTCGGACATTGCTTCAACTGCGAAGAAACGCAAGGCGATCGACATGGGCACGAAATCTGCAATCCTTCAGGAGCTGAGCGCAGGGGCGAAAAACGGCGACCTGTGCAAGAAATATGGCTTATCGAAGTCCACCATTTCGACGATCGCCAAGGAAAAGGAGAAGATCATGGCAGCAATGAGCATGAATGGTGACTGCAGTGCTCGAAAACGGCTGCGGCCCGCCGCGTACAAAGACGTCGAAGACGCTCTCTTCAAGTGGTTTCTCGACGCAAGAACTATGAACGTCCCCATCAGCGGACCCCTGCTGCTTGGGAAAGCCAGGGACTTCGCGTTTCTCCTGAATTTCACAGAGTTCAGCCCTGGAAACGGATGGCTCCATCGCTTCAAGGAGCGCCACGGGATTGTTTACAAGTCCATCGTCGGGGAAGGGGCATCCGTGGACATAGAGAGAGCGGAGCAGTGGCTTGCTGACAACCTGGACGAGATCTACAGCTACAGTGAGCAAGATGTCTACAACGCGGATGAAACTGCATTGTTTTACCAGATGAGGCCTGTGCGTACGCACGCGTTAAAGGGCGACAAATGCGTCGGTGGGAAGCACAGCAAGGTGCGGATAACTGTGCTCCTGTGCTGTAATGTAGACGGCAGCGACAGGCGCTTGCCGTTTGTGATTGGAACGGCGAAGAAACCGCGCTGTTTCACCAACCCCCTGCCGCGTACGGTACCGAGACAGTGCCAAGGCTTGGATGACTCGGCAACTCTTTGCCGAATGGCTCACGGAGCTTGACAATGCCATGGTCAAGCAAAAACGAAAGATCCTGTTGATCCTGGATAATTGCTCAGCTCATCACGTGAACCCACAGCTGAATGCTGTGACTTTGATGTTCCTCCCTCCGAACGCCACTGCCAAGCTCCAACCCCTCGACATGGGGATCATCAGAAATTTCAAAGTGTGCTACCGCCGCCGCGTCATCGAAAGGCTGCTCATCGCAATCGGCCGACCAAGTGCGCGAGGGCCTCAGCTGACAATTTCTCTCATGAACGCGGTGGAAATGCTGAAGGCCTCCTGGATGGAAGTCAGGTCTGGCAGCATCAAGAACTGCTTTCGAAAAGCTGGGATTTCGTTTTCTCCTGCGGAGCAATCTCCTGCGGAAGCAAGCCAAGACGATGCGCAAAGCATCGACTCGACCCTGTGGACCCAAGCCGTTGCTGCTAGTCTGACAGAGGAAGGGCAGACGTGGGACGACTTCGTTGACGCCGACGAAGATGTCATCGTCTCGGAGAGCGCCTCCGATGAAGCTATCGTGCGGGAGGTGCGGCAGGACATCGCGGCGTCCGACGACGAAGAGGACGACGAAGACGACGTCGGCGATGGGGTTGCTCCCTCACCTCCGGTTTCGACAGCGACGGCTTTGGGGCACATAGCTTCGTTGAAGCAGCTGGTGTACGCACGGGGACTGAGCGATGTTCACATCGATCAGCTGAGCAACCTGGAGAGCGCTATAATTGGATCTGCACTGCGGAAGCAAACAGCGATTACGGACTTCCTTGAATAAACGCCATGCACATCGATCGCAGGTGTTGCGCTTTCCAATCCGTGCCGTGCTTACTTATTTATCTTGAATTTTAAGGGTAAGTCCATTTATAACGAACTTCTCTTTGAGCGAACGCGTTTCGTGTTGTAGAAGGGTTCGTTGTAAGCGGGCTCGACTGTACCACGCGTCGTGGGAGGTAAAGACTTTACAAGTAGGAAGGGACTAGTGGACTGTACTTCCAATTGGGACAGCTTTAGGAAGGGTGGCTTCAAAGCCGAGAAAGCCAAGTTGCCGGCCAACACACGGTTTGACCGTCAAAGGCTTTTGCGGTCAGCTCTTGTGTGGTAAACTGGCTGTGCGAGGTGCTGATTTTCGGCACACAGGTACTTTGACAACCGTAACTTGACAAAACACTTATTATACCTAAAAGAGGTTGCATAGTTTAACCAGTTGGAAATATTTTTGGGCGGCGTAACTAAATGGGAACCGGTTTTGACCGTCAAAGGCTGTCAAGACTATACCACTCATCATGGCCGGGAGGTGCACACTTTACAGGTAGGAACAGTGCTTAAAGTCCACGTAAATTGAGGGGGGTCTCTACAAGAAGGTGGGGGAAAGGGGGGGGGGGGGGGTTGATGAGATGTAATAGATGCACATAAAATAAACCCCACTGCTGACTCTGTCCACGCTGTACCTGCAACCCTCAACCCCAAATGTCACATCCCTGATAACAAGCTATCTTATTGCAAGATATGATTTTGATTTCACTAATGCTGGGGCTGTGGAGGAGGGTCTCAGACCATCCGTTAAAATCATTGGGGGGTCGAGACCCCCTGAGACCCTCCAAACTGTAAGCCCTGGGTAGGCAGGGACCAGTGGACGGTTCTTCCAGTTCGAATAACTTTGCAATAGATGGCTCTAAAGCCGAGAAAAAAAAAATTGTCGTCTACAAAACTCGGGGTGTCAGCGTTTCCACATCCAAAAGGAGGTTGATAAAAAAAAAAAAAGCACACCACATAAACTTCCATACTCAAACATCAATTGTCCAGTGAATCCAAGTTTCGTTGTAGTTTTCCTTAGATTCATATTTGTCAATTTTTGTACAGTCCGAATCTTTCTTCATAAAGTACCGACCGCGTGCCATACGGGTCCGGAAAGATCATCGACACGTACAATAGGGACGAAACTTCTTTCGAGGGCATTCCTTCAACGAAATTCGCACTGCATACCCGCGAGTGTAGGATGGCATTTCAGTTTGAGCTGATATATGTATGGTTACTGGTACGGAAAACAAACGCAGAGCGCAAAGCGGCAGTGTATAGAATATGTCAACCGTGCCGACACAGTGGCAGACATGATCGGGAGACCAAATTTCTCGCGTCGTACGGCACGGGTCCATCGTTGTCGCTGTCCCACAAAACATCGGCGAGGTGAAAACCTGTGAAACTTCGTCCCCACGAGATACGACGCATAAGTATTGGAGCACTTAATGATGCAGCAGTTCATGCTGTTAACCCAGCGCAACCGCACCGCTCCGACTTCAATGCGTACCAATGCACGCGGCGTGGTTTCGTTTCGCAGGAGCTCTCATTGGATACCTTCAGTAACGGCCGCGCGGCGGCGCGCCGGTCGCGTCGCACGGAGTGTATACAACGTGACCTTTTCTTACCGTGATAGGAACGCCGTATCCGTTCGATCATTTTTGTGAAGCTTACGGGTATTAGATAGGACAAGTTCTGCAGTACTGATATCGCGACACAACCCAGTCTCCGTGACAAATATGATATATGGTTGACAACTGACTAATATATTAAAGTTCTAGCTGCTTTGAACGAATTATTCGAATGTTGGCTACGGAGAACGATAAGCGGGGCAAGTGTGCAATGATAGAACTAGACGTTCGAGCAAGTCATTCGTTCCGAGCGTTAACTTCAAACTACTTCCGAGCAGAATTACGGTTTCGCTATAATGAGAGTACGCGTCGACTGGATTATTTACGTACAGCTTAATAAACTTAATTTCGTACATTGTGTACTTTTCTACCGGGAGACGGAAGCGTGTTCCCACTGTCTACCATGTGACATCATCGAGTCTTTCGAGATGGACACTTTTGTGTCCATCTCGAATCGGTGGCCGAGTGCGCTAGCCCACGCGGCCACCAATCCCCCCAGTGCACGTTGTAAAATACACGTGGAAGCTCGCCGTTAGCCCGCGCTCAGCAATCGCGCACACAGCTATGGCCGCCATTGAATAGGGAGTATTCGCTGGTTGGTTGGTTGTGTTGTTTGGCAGACGTGAAATTTGCCTCACTCACGGTGGGCACGTTTCACGGGCCTGGGTTATTGAAGGTTGATGAGGGTGAATGCGGGGAAAGGGAAGGGAAAATATGGTGATGAAGGGGTCCGGGGATGACGAGGGCAGCGTGAGCAAAATAATGACCAAACACGTTTCGGTTTAATATCGCTCTACCTATCCGGCGGGACTAGATGACTCCATTACTTCGAGCCAACCTCACTCATTGAAATGAACATCGGCTTTACTTCTCTTTCAAGAACAGTAAACATCGCGACGGCGTCACGTCCTCAAATCGACTGTGTCTGAGAATGTTAGATAGAGCAAGTATTCCGAAGACTCCCTACCCATCGTCAGCTTGAGTGCCCGCCTTGGGGCCGACGAGCTGGGTTGGCTCGAACTTCAAAAATTAATTTTTTTTGCGTTTAAGTTTCGCGTCTAACATTGCCTATTTGATGTCTGGGTTCTAAAGGATGTATTGCCGTTGACAATATATTTTTAGACCAACCACCTCATACCGTTATTCTCAAGTGAATGATGCTCTTTTTGCGCTACTTTCAAGATTGGTTATTTTTCCCTCAAAACATTGCAACAAATATTATACGAAAAATATTTTTATAATGAACCTCAATCTTAGTGCTATCAATACAAGTACAATTTATGCCTGATAATTTTGCCCTTTTACGAGGAAAAAAATGTGAATATGGGCATTTTAGGCGATTTTTAGTGCTACAGAATTGCAAGAAAAGGTCGAAATTACATGCAAGTATCTATTTGGGCATTTGAAGGGACCTATTTGGTTACTAAAAACAGTGTTATTTTACAGCCTAGTTTTAAAGCTGCCAGGAAAAAAAATGCCGTCGATAGCCTTTGAAACTACTTGTTCGCGGTAATCAAGGGGTCGCCAAATGAGCAAAAAGCAATGGCATTTTTACGTCGCTCTAAGTGGCTACAATTTTTTTTAAAACCAAATCCGTGATGGTCGATTTAGGGGCTGAATCGTTTGGCGTGGAATGACCCACTTGGATAAAAATCGGTGCAGAACATTCCGAGTTCAATGCTATCCTGCTGAAACCCGAGAGAGAGAGAGAGAGAGAGAGAGAGAGAAGTGTTGATAAAGAAAGGCAGCCTGGAAATGCTGAAACCCGAGCGTGTCGCATTGAGTTCACACGTGGCACCACTGATCTCCACTAGGGGTCAGTGCGTGGCATTGCCCGGCCTGTTTTACGCCATCATTTTGGCCCTGGTATCGCGACACAAGCCACCCGGAGAAAATGAAGACAACATCAGAGTGTTTAGTTGCATGGACTCGCGTAGAGTGGTGACACCTGCCGCCCGTGTTACCTGCCGTTCGAAGCGGCGGCATTCGTTTGAGGCTGCACGTGCGCGCGCGCGTGCACGCTTCAGCGACGCACCACAATGGCCGCCCGCTCTGAGCTCCTCCGTCCCCGCCAGAGGGACGGCAGATTACAAAGCGAGCCACGTGCTCTGCGCCTCACTCGGTTTTGGGTTTCGCTTTCGCGTTGCCGCTGTTATGATAGCCCTCTCTCTGGGGCTACGCGTACAGGACACGTTAATGGCCACATCAACGCAGCGCCTGCCGCTCAGCCCTCTCTTACCGCCCACTCACACTGGAAGCGGATCCGCGTTCGCAAAGCGGTTGCGAACGAGGTTGTATAAAGGTCCAGTACAATGGCACGCGCACTTGATGTCATCGAGTGCGCGTGCAATTGCACTGGATCTTTATACAACCGCGTTCGCAACCGCTTTGCGAACGCGGATCCGCTTCCAGTGTGAATGAGCGGTTCGAGTGCCGCGGTCTCGCACTCTGTACTTGGAGCGTCATCTTTCAAGGGCATTTCATCTATCGCCGTTTAACTGAAAGTAATTTCATATAAGCCCCTTCATCGGACGCTGTTTTATATTGAAAGCTGTTTGATGAACGTCGTTGAAACATATCAGCCGCTGTTGCCGCTTGCAAAGCGCACCTGCAGTCGACTGTTCCAAGAAAACTCTAAAAACCTCGAGATTTTTAAAGGTGTTGACTTTATCACGATCGACAGTCGATTCCTCGTGCCTGGGGATTTGGCGGAAGAAAACTAGAGCTGTAATTAATGATTTTGATTTTTCCCACCGGTGTGCGACGGATTTCTAAGAAACGCCGTCATACATATGTACGATTCCGTGTCTTTGGAGTTTATTTCTCATAAAATTCGGAGGGGGCTTTTCGAAGCTTATTTCTGGCTGAGGATTCGTGGTTTATCGGACTTTATTTTCGTTAGATTCCCAATGCTTAGAAATTCAGAGTTTATTTTACTGTGTAAATTGAAAAAAAAAAAAATATAGATAAGGTCCGGGTACGGTTGTCACGAAGGAACTTCGACGTGCTAAAAGTCAAATCGCTTTCGTCAGTCTTTCTGGATTTCAAAGCTCCTCAGGACCACTGACCTTGTGCTCTTATAAAGTTAGTTGTAAAAATCCGTCTTATTATTTTTTTTTTTTTTTGCTGTTTATTTTGTCGCTGTGACCTCGCAGTTAGGAGCTTTTCGGATAAGTCCGAATCAACGTAAAATTTATCGGAGAGTGTTTTTTTTTTTTTTTGATTTATTGGAAAACACGGAACTCTATACACATGATACCAGAGGTGTTGCGGCCGTCTTCTCCGAATTCTGATCTCAGCGAAATCGTCCGACCGGCGTAGTGGAGCCGTGGTGTAGCCTTCACCCGCCGAGAGCGCAGGAGGCATAGAAGAGTGTTGGCAGGGCTACCCGGTCAAGGAGCATAGCTTGTGAATGGTGCCAGCTGAACATGAAAATCACACGGAGAAAAAAAATATAACATTCGCACCGCTGGACTAGCAAGATTTAATGAG